CTGTGTCCATCTTCGTGTTGGTCGGCCCCTGTCCCTCCTTCCTGTCAAAATGCCTTTTGCTTTACTTTTTTCCCCATCCTCTGTGCCGCTTGATACAGTCAAAATATTTCAACTTCCGAGACAAGGTGCTGTTTACAAGCCAATATCTTCCCTTCTCATAATCTTTCAGGATGTCAATGTTTTTGTTCTTTTTGTCTATGGTATTTTGAGAATCTTTCTATGACATGTGATAGTCCATGACTCGTCCGTAATTAGCTACAGGATAGATGCATGCTCTCAATCTTTTGACTGGAAACAGTGCGCCCCAAAAATGCAGAAGAGAAAACCTTACAATGGAGAAGAGATTACAAAAATACAAGTATAGAACACACACATATACACATACACACACACAATAGAAACAAATATACTACAGGAGAAAAGAGACAAGAAAAGACAAATATCAGTGGTTTCAAACTTACGTTGCTGTCATATTCATGAAGACACATTGTTCACTGGAGTTTCTTCTCAAACTAGGTTCCTTTAAATACAAGTGGAATTAGTTAATGAAATAAATTCGCTGCTTACGGTTACATTTTGAGTATATTTAGAAAAGTAGTGCTACCAAAAGACAATCTGTCTTTATAGAAGAGGAATAGACATAAGAAAGCCAGTAATCTTTAACTCAGGAACGCAAAAAATCTGCTAGTTGACTATGTTCTTAGTGCACTTGTATCCATAGCGAGACACACACACAGTTTGGAGGTGACAGGTTCAATTCCTGGCACGGTAACTATAGCTTTCGATTTTTATGTCGTCTAAGTATTGTTATCTATCTTTCTACTTCTTTCTAGGAGTACCGATCAATACATTCTATGTTACTTTATTAATATATATAAAATGTCCTATAATTTTCAGCTGTTTATTATTTGAAATAAACTTCCCTCCATTATTAAGGCAGTAGATCTTTCTGGTGGGCAATGCAGAGGAACATTCAAATTCGTTTTGTTACATAAGTAGAACGAATCTTCATTATGGGAGGGGCATTGGGGATATGTTGGTGGTTTGAGGTTTTGAGGTTTTGGACAACGCATCAACATCATGGCACACTGGTAGTAACCCATAAGTGTTCCGTTGTTCTTCTAACTCAAGTCTAAGTCCGAAGAAGCTCAACACAGTGCACAGGCTCTGTAGCACCGGCGAGGATCTTGAAATACTTTGGGTAGATATTTACCTCCAAATATTACCCGGGCAGTGACGTTAGGCTACTCTTTTCGATTTTTAACTGCCCATGGATTTTTTTACGTCCTCAACAATACACACGAGCGTCCGATCTCACTACCCAAAGCCAGGGGGAATTACTAGAAGTCCAAGTCAACATGAAAAAATCCCAGCCCTTAACGGGGATTGAACCCGGAACCTCTAGCACTCGAGGCGGACACCATGCCTCGAGACGACGCAGCTTCCTATGTTGCTGGACACCTTTTGTAAACCACTCGTCACTCAGTGGTTAAGGTGGTCCACATCACCCATCTTCTTGACATCCTAGAACAATCCCAATACTTCCTATGTGACTTCCAGAGCTCCATTTAGGGTGCAAACGATACAGAAAAACAATAACCCCACTGCTTCCTAACAAGCATGACACAAAAGGCGACTAATTAGGGGCGTATCTTTGGAAGTCGAAGTGCATCTGCCTGAGAGGCAAGGAACATACAGAGAGCATAAAAATAAGCTATCAGAGGTGCCTCGGAGTGGCTGCTGCATTAGAGGCCTGGGCAGGCATGGGGATGCCCAATGTGCAAAGACGTCGACTGTGATGACATAACATAAGCCAGATATGTTAAACGGATTTGCACGCAAAACTCAAGTTTTGAAACAAGACCAAGCTCAAGAAATGGATGAAATTCCACAACTCTGAGCTGGAGTTTACAATCGCTGAACTCTAATAGAGAGACAAGAAAACACATTGTGCTCATATTAGCCCGCGTGTACATGTGAGTCAGTGTCAATTTTGACAAACAAACAAAGCCACCTTTCAAAAGAACATCAGAAAGCGTGTCTTCCTCTTCTCTTCCACCTTGTACCTCATCGAAGTGTCGGGGGAGATGTAACATTCGTTGATGAGCTCTATCAAGAGCACTATTAAAGACTTATGTTCTGTAAGGCTGTTCTTAATGCCATCACTCCGAGGTCTTCCACTCGCTCTATACCCGGTGTAACGTTTTAGTGTGGCTCGCTGTGGCAGACAGTACCAGGGTATTCTTTTCAGGTGTCCAGACCACTTTATTTGTTCTCTTTGATGACGTGTAAAACTGGCTTTAGTCCTAGCAATCGTCTATTTTCGCGATTTCTAGAAATCGTGTCTGATGTATCAAGTTTTAGTCGTTGACAACTTGTAGAGGGTTTAGTGTCACTAGATTTTTGTTTACAGCCGGCATTCCAAAGTATTCTGGTGTTGGCGACTATTTTGTTTGTTTGTTTGTTCTAAAACCTTTGATAATGTTATCATTGAATAATTTACCACATCTGTTAACTAGGGTTCTATCATGGTGTCACCTCCCAACAACTTCTTGCGTTTTCGTCCACATGGTCAATAGATCTTGGATTTTCAATAACTTCTTGCGTTTTCGTCCACATGGTCAATAGATCTTGAATTTTCAATAACTTCTTGCGTTTTCGTCCACATGGTCAATAGATCTTGAATTTTCAATAACTTCTTGCGTTTTCGTCCACATGGTCAATAGATCTTGAATTTTCAATAACTTCTTGCGTTTTCGTCCACATGGTCAATAGATCTTGGATTTTCAATAACTTCTTGCGTTTTCGTCCACATGGTCAATAGATCTTGAATTTTCAATAACTTCTTGCGTTTTCGTCCACATGGTCAATAGATCTTGAATTTTCAATAACTTCTTGCGTTTTCGTCCACATGGTCAATAGATCTTGAATTTTCAATAACTTCTTGCGTTTTCGTCCACATGGTCAATAGATCTTGGATTTTCAACAACTACTTGCGTCGACCACATGGTCAATAGATCTTGGATTTCAACAGTGTTAAACCTTCCAGCTTTCACCTCTTCCTAAAAGCAAACATTTGTATTCTTTAAATTCTCCCTTCTGCTTCTGGGAAAGATCCTGGGGCTTCGGTGCAGTCAGCTCAATGGCGTGATTGGCACATGCCAGACGGTCGGTTTCCAAGGTTCCGAGGTAAACTATCCATCACAATTTCTGTCGGATTGCAGGCTGTACGAGTTTTGAGGTTTTCTAAATCCAGGGTACCAATATAATAAGAGTTTGAGTGGAAACAGATGGCAAAGAATAGAACAACTTGGGGCTAGTTGTTTAAAGGATCATGCTTCATGAGTGTGATGGGAGTGGTGGGGAGGGGTGTGTTCGTGTAAAGAGTGGTGGAGTGAGGAGTGTTGGTGTGAGGGGTGGTAGTGTGAGGAGTGGTGGTGTGAGGAGTGGTGGTGTGAGGAGTTGTAGAGTGAGAAGTGGTGGTGTCAGGAGTGTTGGTGTAAGGAGTAGTGGGGGTAAATAGTGCTTGTGTGAAGAGTGGTGATATGAAGAGTGGTGGTGTGAAGAGTGGTAGTGTGAAGAGTGGTAGTGTGAGGAGTGGTGGTGTGAGGAGTGGTGGTGTGAGGAGTGGTGGTGTGAGGAGTGGTGGTGTGAGGAGTGGTGGTGTGAGGAGTTGTGGTGTGAGGAGTTGTGGTGTTAGGAGCGGTGGTGTGAGGAGTTGTGGTGTAAGGAGTTGTGGTGTTAGGAGTGGTGGTGTGAGGAGTGGTGGTGTGAGGAGTTGTGGTGTAAGGAGTGGTAGTGTGAGGAGTGGTGGTGTGAGGAGTGGTGGTGTGAGGAGTGGGGGTGTGAGGGGTGGTGGTGTGAGGAGTTGTGGTGTGAGGAGTGGTGGTGTGAGGAGTGGTGGTGTGGGCGTGGTGTGGAGGAGTGGTGGTGTGAGGAGTTGTGGTGTGAGGAGTGGTGGTGTGAGGAGTGGTGGTGTGAGGAGTTGTGGTGTGAGGAGTGGTGGTGTGAGGAGTGGTGGTGTGAGGAGTGGTGGTGTGAGGAGTGGTGGTGTGAGGAGTGGTGGTGTGAGGAGTGGTGGTGTAAGGAGTGGTGGTGTGAGGAGTTGTGGTGTGAGGAGTGGTGGTGTGAGGAGTGGTGGTGTGAGGAGTGATGGTGTGAGGAGTGGTGGTGTGAGGAGTTGTGGTGTTAGGAGCGGTGGTGTGAGGAGTTGTGGTGTAAGGAGTAGTGGGGGTAAATAGTGCTTGTGTGGAGTGTGGTGATGTGAAGAGTGGTGGTGTGAGGATTGGTGGTGTGAGGATTGGTGGTGTGAGGGTTGGTGGTGTGAGGGTTGGTGGTGTGAGGGTTGGTGGTGTGAGGATTGGTGGTGTGAGGATTGGTGGTGTGAGGATTGGTGGTGTAAGGATTGGTGGTGTGGGGATTGGTGGTGTGAGGGTTGGTGGTGTGAGGATTGGTGGTGTGAGGTTTGGTGGTGTGAGGGTTGGTGGTGTGAGGATTGGTGGTTTGAGGGTTGGTGGTGTGAGGATTGGTGGTGTGAGGGTTGGTGGTGTGAGGATTGGTGGTGGGAGGAGTGGTGGTGTGAGGAGTGGTGGTGTAAGGACGGGGTTGATGGTTAAGCTGGGTGGTGGGTAAAGGTGAGAAAATTAAACGAAATACACCCCCACACGCACACACACACACACACACACACACATATATATATATATATATATATATATATATATATATATATATATATACGCACGCACGCACGCACTCACGCACACACACACACACATATATATATATATATATATATATATATATATATATATATATATATACATACACACAGAGAGAGAGAGAGAGAGAGAGAGAGAGAGAGAGAGAGAGAGAGAGAGAGAGAGAGATAGAGATAGAGAGAGAGAGAGATGGAAACACCACTCGTGAGAATGAACCAGATACACAGACTTGGTTTTGTTTGTGTGTTAAGAGTCTTTTTTTTTTTTTTAAAAACCTACCTGAAGAGAGAAAGTTAAAACCACTGGCTGACTTAAAAGCTGGAAAATAATTTTGGAAATGTTCAAGAATTCCACTGAGAGCACATCGGAGTTAATGATGCTGGAGTCATTCGGATATTTCCTGAAAATGTATCGTGACATAAATAACTTTTAGGTTCTCGAAATAATAACTTCCAAATTGGTTTTTTTTTTTTTTTAAAAAAACATGAAATGAAGAAGGAATACAGTGATTCCTCACTTTACGTGTTTTTTTTCCCTATACGTTAAACTTGGTATACATCCTGTTTAGATGAGAAAATTGTTTTGTTTACGACTTTTGTAAGGAAATATTCTGGCGTGCTAGGATTTGTTTGAGTCAAAATGACTCATGACACCGCGCATACACTTGTTTACCTGTCTCGTTGATCAAGGAAATGTTTACCAAATGGATGTCTGTCAAAAACTTCGTGGAGACATATCGCCTCAACATGGCCCAATCAAGCCTTTATAGCATTGTGTGGAACAGCAAAACAATGTCACATTTCCGAAACTTTCTAAGGCGAAGGCAGAAACAAAGTTCTGAAAGGATTGTGTCGCTTAACAAAGTTTTACTTTTTACTTTGTACGGCCCATAGTTTCTTTACACTAGAATTTATATTTTATAATAAAATGTATAATATCAATTATTGAGAGACACAGGGACAGAAAAAAAAGGAAGACCACAAAGCATACAAAGAAGTACAGTGGAACCTCGCTTAACGAGCATCATTCATTCCAGAACCATACTCGTTAAGTGAAACACTCGTTAAGTCAAACACAATTTTTCTCATATAAGTTAATGTAAAATACGATAATGCGTTCCATGTCGAAAAAAAAAACTCTCATAAAATGCTATGTATAACGTATAGTCAAAGAAAATTATACACATATTATTAAGGAGAGTGAATCATCTTCATCTTTTCTTTAAACGCGTAACGAACCCACCTGGAATGCAAATTAGATTTGCAGAAAAAAAAATTCGAAATAATTATGATACATAGCTAATTATTTATTTTTTACTAGAAAGATGTCCAGAGACATTTGTTTTTGCCGACGCTTAAACATTTGGCGAAAATGCGACACAGCATTATCATTAAATAAATTCGAAACGTGCATTGACACTACCTTATTAGGGTGATGATTCTCAATGTAAGATGCAACAGTTTCCATGCTTTCAGCATTTCTCTTATTCCGCCAGAAGATTGTTGCTTTTCTGTTACCTCCTCCGCCTCCTCTGACAAACTTTTCCACAAAACTTCTTGCTGTGAAACACAATGCAACTCCATAAGCTCTTGTGTGGTCAGCTCTTGGCTGTGCTCTTCCACAAGCTATCGCTGTTATCCATCTCCAATCCCATGATAGTGGCCAAAGGCACAATCTCGTTGACTACAGGTTCCACAGGTACTGTCTCGAACCCCTTAAAGTCACAAATCGACAACGTTCTCCGGCCAAAGCTTCTTTCAAGCAGAAGTTAGGGTTCTTTTGGTAACCCCTTCCCCCGCCTTGTTGATCATCTAGAGGCAGGCAACGATGTGGAAGTGGTTTTTCCAGAACTCTTTGAGAGCGAGGTTGGTCCCTTTAGTCACATGAAATCAATGCTCGAAGAGTGCTTAAGTGTAGAGCTTCTTGAAGTTACAAATAAATTGCTGGTCCATGGGCTGGAGTAACGGAGTGGTGTTGGGAGGCAGAAACTGGATCTTGAAGAACTTAAATTCTTCAGAGAGGTCATCTTGTAGGCCTGGAGGATTCATGTATATCTATCACAATATAAAACGTTTAAGAAAATGTGTGATCACAAGCGACACTACGATGCTACTGGAACGAGTGCTAAACACAGACTGATGTAACATAATTACAATTCGGGACTTCCCCTCTCCTCGCCACTCGTTATGCGAAACGTCGCTCGTTAAGCAAGTCATTTTTTTTTTTACAATTTGTTTTGCTTGTTATGCGAATTACTCGTTACGAGAGGTGCTCGTTAAGCGAAGTTCTGCTGTAACTAGAGAGTTAAGTTAAAAAGATAGGAAGAACATGGGGAGATCTGTATGCAATAGTGAAGCATAGAACGACTTGTATTGCGTTGATCGAGGGCCTATGCTTCCTTGGGGGGGGGGGGGGGAGGGGGGGTTAGAAAGGCAGAAAAAGAAGAATACAAACTGATATTGTAAATTATCTTACTTGTTACTTCTAGTGTCACTGATGGAAAGGAGAGGTGCTACAGATGAAAATCTGGCTATATAAATGGCTACTGGAACATCTGGAACATCTGGAAAATGAAGAAAATGAAGAAATGCAGGTGTCATTTCTCATAGATTCTGGTTTCTCGTTACGTACAAATCAATAAAGGATTACATAATTTGTTTCACGACACAGGGGAAGACTATTGATATTATGCTTAAGAATTATGTAATGTACGAATACATAAAACGATAAAAAGAAAAAGCAAATATGTATTTAAAATACATCTGCGCGTATTCCCACAGTATCCAAACAAGGTGCCAGTACTCGCGACAAAGTTTCTATTAAAGTGCTGCTGAACATTAGTGCCTAAAAAGGCGTGGATACTGCTTACAATTGCATACCGTCAGGAAACAGGAAATCCCTACCATGAATTATTTTTAAAATGACAGTTTAACTCTTTTGAGTCCCAGGGGTTATAGCATCAGAGGTCCTAGTTGTAGTCAAGAGAGGCGTAACAATCAGTGCATCTTGCGTTCATGAGGCTTCTAGATAGCAACCTATGAAAGTATGATGCGTCCCTTTTGACTCAAAGAGTAAAAGAAATCAAGAGACTCCACTCCACTCAAAGCCGTAGTGGATAAACGGTGCTATGTCAACATATTCTTTCACACACACAAAGATACCAAACAAAATGGAGAGTAGAACCAGTCAGCTTCACACCATCAAACTCAAACGACAAGCTAACGTTGCGGCTAAAGAGCCTTCATAAGCACATTACATGAATAATAATACCATAAATGTAAACAAGAATACACAAAGTCACCGACGAATCATTAAAGAATCCACACTCTGCCTGCGATAAGGATTATATTAAACCTGATACTTGTCGCCTTTAACCCAAAACATTTCCTGGCACCCAGTTTGACATGGATGTAGCCTTTGAGAAAAATCCATAGAATTTCATCCAATGATAAAAAAAAAAAAAAAAAAGCAGTCCTTCTTGAGACAGAGGAAATGGAGAAATTAGACGTTCTGTCGGTTTTGGGAGGAGGAAAAAAGGGGGGGGGGGTTATTATTATCCTACCCAGATGACGCCACAGAACAGTGCAACATTTTAGATGGTGGTAAGACTGGGTTTCCTGGCTTTCTGATGCTTTTAATGAACCCAAAATATCTACAACTGGCCCTAACCCCAACCCACCTACATCCCACGAGAGAGTGCAACCTAGGTCTTACGACTGCATGCAATATATCTATCACCCCCTGAAATATTAGACTGTTCTGTGACTTGTGGATTCCCCTGTTTGTGGTAGAATATTAATAAAGCACCGAATTTTTTCAGACATGAGAAGGAATTTACGCGAAAACTTGGTAACAACTAGCAAGAATGACGAGGAGAGAAATGAGAGGCAAAGAGATAAATACCAGGATGGCTAGGCCATACTGATGGTGCGAGACAAGAACATTGATCGATCTGTGGTTCTGGTTTTCGTATATGATAGTGAAATAGTCCCCTCTGTGCTTATCCGCCGAGCACATGATAATGATGAATAATTTCTGTCGGATTGCTGTGTGTGAACTCTTTTTGTTTTGTCCTTACTCCGATTTGTGCCGCTTTGTGTCGCTGGTAGACGGATGATCGGTATCCGAGCTAAGGCATGCTCGGTTGCCCGACATGCTTGGATGTTGTGGAGTCTCAAGGTATCAGCCAGTCCTTTATTCCATCTTCTTCATGGACGTCCCCAACCTCTAGGTGCTTCTACTTTCATGTTGTAAGCTCTCGTTGCTGTAATCATTGGATTCATTCTCATCAAATGGCTAAACCATTTCAGTCATTGTTTTCCAAGGCATTTAGCTACAACTGTTCTTCCGGAAGTTTATTTGTCTTCATTTCTCATACTATTTCTTCTAGTTTTGTTCACAGCCTCTCTCAAAAATCTCATTTCGCAGGCGGGCAGTATGTTGTCTAGTTCTTTTACGCCAGACTTATCTGGATTAACTGGTCACACACACAAACACACACAGTTAAAATAACCATACACTCAAAATAAATGCAACCATAAAATACTAGGCAGGTTAGATGTTTTTCTGACAGTGTGATGTGGTGATCTTTAGGTTTGCAAATGTTTTTCTGACAGTGTGAAGTGGTGATCTTTAGGTTTGCACAAGTTTTTCTGACAGTGTGATGTGGTGATCTTTAGGTTTGCAAATAATTTTTCTGACAGTTGTGATATGGTGATTTTTAGATGTTTTTCTGACAGTGTGATGTGGTGATCTTTAGGTTTGCAAATGTTTTTCTGACGGTGTGATGTGGTGATCTTTAGATGTTATTCTGAAAGTGTGATGTGGTGATCTTTAGATGTTTTTCTGACAGTGTGATGTGTTGATCTTCAGGTTTGCAAATTTTTTTCTAACAGTGTGATGTGGTGATTTTTAGATGTTTTTCTGACAATGTGATGTAGTGATCTTTAGGTTTGCAAATGTTTATCTGACAGTGTGATGTGGTGATCTTTAGGTTCGCAAATGTTTTTCTAACAGTGTGATGTGGTACTCTTTAGGTTTGCAAATGTTTTCCTAACAGTGTGATGTGGTGATTATAAGGTTTGCAAATGTTTTTCTGACAGTGTGATGTGGTGATCTTTAGGTTTGCAAATGTTTTTCTGACCGTATGATGTGGTGATTTTTAGGTTTGTAAATGTTTTTCTGACAGTGTGATGTGGTGATCTTCAGGTTTGCAAATTTTTTTCTAACAGTGTGATGTGGTGATTTTTAGATGTTTTTCTGACAATGTGATGTGGTGATCTTTAGGTTTGCAAATGTTTTTCTGAAAGTGTAATGTGGTAATCTTTAGGTTTGCAAATGTTTTTCTGAAAGTGTAATGTGGTAATCTTTAGGTTTGCAAATGTTTTTCTGACAGTGTAATGTGGTAATCTTTAGGTTTGCAAATGTTTTTCTGACAGTGTAATGTGGTAATCTTTAGGTTTGCAAATGTTTTTCTGACAGTGTAATGTGGTAATCTTTAGGTTTGCAAATGTTTTTCTGACAGTGTAATGTGGTAATCTTTAGGTTTGCAAATGTTTTTCTGACAGTGTAATGTGGTAATCTTTAGGTTTGCAAATGTTTTTCTGACAGTGTGATGTGGTAATCTTTAGGTTTGCAAATGTGTTTCTGACAGTGTGATGTGGTAATCTTTGGGTTTGCAAATGTGTTTCTGACAGCATGATCGTGATCTGCTGCTGCTGCTGCTGCTGCTGCTGCTGCTGCTGCTGCTGCTGCTGCTGCTGCTGCTGCTGCTGCTGCTGCTGCTGCTGCTGCTTCTTCTTCTTCTTCTTCTTCTTCTTCTTCTTCTTCTTCTTCTTCTTCTTCTTCTTCTTCTTCTTCTTCTTCTTCTTCTAGCTCACTGGCTGTAAACTCCAGATGAATGATATGGTTATTCGTCCACCTCACGACCTTAGTCTTCTTCTAGAGTGTGAGTTTTGCCTGCACGTCCGTTTTACACATGTTAACTTATTTGCATGCAGACTACAGAGAAACTAAAGATGTCATTACCTGGTACGCTTGTGTCAGAAGAGTTCACCACAAGTCCAGGAAACACAACCGAACTTGTGGGGGCCAGATTTGTGAAAGCTCCGTACACTCTGTTCTTGACGTTTCCAAGGATGATAGTTATTCCTTACGCAAAAAAGACCAATTGATTGTTATCAACATATATTTATACTAAACAACTTCCTAGTTGTCCAACTTGTTTTTCTAAATTAGGATGCGTATTTTTTGGGAGCAGCGGTTCTCAACCTGTGGGTCGACCCTTTTTTGTGGATCGTAGCAAAAAAAAAATAATTAAAAATATTTGTATAGTTGGGGGTTGCTACAAATTATAAGGAATTGTATTAAAGGGTCGCCGCATTAGGACGATTGAGAACTACTGCTTTAGAAGATGTTAGAGAACTGCAACGACTCTCTCAGGCTTTTGTCGCGTATGCACGTCTATTTGTCTACCCGGGCATCAATTGCGCTACCCACACATCCATTCACTCCACCATCCATGATCTAATCTACCTACCTACCCACCCGCCTACCCACCCGCCTACCCACCCGAGAAGGGGCGGGCGGGCGGAGGGACGGACGGGCGTCCGTCCGTCCGTCCGCCCGCCCGTCCGCCCGCCCGTCCGTCCGCCCGTCCGTCCGTCCGTCCGCCCGTCCGTCCGTCCGTCCGTCCGTCCGTCCGTCCGTCCGTCCGTCCGTCGGTCCGTCCGTCCGTCCGTCCGTCCGTCCGTCCGTCTGTCTGTCTGTCTGTCTGTCTGTCTGTCTGCTGATATTTGTTTGCAAGCACAGGCACCACTTTTATTCCATGCGGATGGACTAATGTCATCCCCACAACCCAACTCCGGTTACGTCCTATAGGCCAACCCCTCCCTCCTTAAACACTCAGTGTACGCTGTTGGCGTCTAATCCGCCCCTTTTCCCACCTGCGCGTTGGAGATATATAGGCTGACCGTCATTTCATTGTAAAAGTTTTTTTCGCCAGGGACACAGATGAGTATCATTTATTTTATACATTAGAGTCCTATGTAGTCACTTCATAGTTAGAGCATATTTGTATGTGTGTGCTGTGTTGTCCTTTATGTGCTGATGAAGGCTAATCGCCGCAACGTCCTTTGTTTGTTTATTGTGATCGATTTTGTAAAGCTAACATAAACTATTTGTTGTTTCTCACTCACTTTTTCTCTTCCCTATAATTTTCTACTCCTTTTAAAAACTGCCTTCTTAGGCACACTGACAGATAAGTTCAACATCATCTTAAACACGAAAGAAGAAACGTTGGAATCGCCACACAGCTAATCGATACATAATGATTATTGGTTCCAACAGCTGTTTCTGCAGTCAGTGCACCAGAGATATAAATGTTTAGGGGCGACCAAATCGGCATTTCGTGTCTGTTTCGACGTCTGTCGTTTAGGCGTTGTGAACGCGCTTCGTAATACCGGGGTGTTAGATTCGATCCCAGCTTCGGGTCGTGCGCCTTGCGTTGGTTTCGACAGTGGTATCGAGAAGCTGACCGCCCAGAAAGCAATGGCAAACTACTGG